TTGAAATTAAGGGAAAGAGATGGCTCTACCTCTCTTTAATGTGTTGGTAACTGAACCAAGCACTCTTGACTGATGATCTTGACTTTAGCAAACTTGAGTATCATCTTCATGTTGAACGCTTGTCATTTATTGAATACTGTAGTAGTTTTGATTTATAGCCATCAAGTAAACAGCAAAATAGAAGTCCCTTTGTCTCATGCATTGCTAGAACAGCGAGAAACAGCAGTTTTGATAAAATTGCATGAAGGTTTGATAAGCATATAGGAGAACATGTGTGGATCAGTAAAACACCACACAAAATTGAAGAAATCATGTATATGTAAAATCAAATCCAGCTTAATTTGTTACTGTGTTTCATCTACCTGCAGGCCTGCATGATTCATTTTGGAGGCTAGGGAAGATGCAGAGGAACCTTGGAGCAGAATATGCAGCTCAGATTCTGGAATGAAAGTAGGTATATTTGGTTGGACTGGAACAACATCTGAGTGGGCTGGAAGGCAGGGCAGAGACTTCCAAGCAATGCTGAACTGGAACTCTCAGCAGCCTTCAAGCAGGATGGCCAAGAATGAGGGATGCTGAGAGTTCCAATTCAGCAATGTCTGGAAGGCTACATGTTACTCTTCCCTGTCCTACTGCATTGTTGAAAGGAACATGCAGACTGAGTTCTGAAGCTCTCAGCTTTTGTTTAAACAGATTTCTTGATTTCATTATTGTGGAAAACTGAAATAAACATGGGGAGAGGAATAACACAATTGTGCTTCCAACCCAGTACTTTTCCTTCCTTTTGATCTAATTATACCTGCTCCCTTTCCATCTTTTCTTTAACACCCTTTCACCATTTTTGGTTTTGTACTTCTTTCTTCTCCCTTTTCTGTGTACATGTTGTGCATATGCACAAGTGTCGTTATCTAATGCTACAAGCTAAACACACTTACATGATGTAATTCACTACGTATAAGTAGATGTGAAGTTGGTTTCTTATGAGAACAGAGTATTCACAATATATCTCTTGCTCTTGGAGCAAGCCATCTAAATTCCTCCTGCATATTTCTCCATGTCTTTCTAAATTCAAGGCATGCCCCCACATGGAGACCCGTGAGAATTGTTCATCTACCTCTCATTTCAATTTCTGGATTAATTTAGTTTCTTTCAGGAGACCCCAGAAAGCTGCTCTCATTTAAACCCTTGGGACAAATGAGAGAATTGCCCCAAAGCCTTGGAAACACTGCATTTCTACAGAAGCAGCACCACACTACCTCTTCTTCTACTTTATTCCAGAAATGGAGGGCACTGCATCTAAAAACAAAGCACTTGCAATTTGTAGTGAGAGTATGTGTGAAAAGGCTCATGGGACTGCAGTGGATCAGAAGCTGATCCGAAGTGTGGCATGGGTGTAAAAACAGTGAGGCTGCATCAGTCGAAATAGAGTTTCAGATCCCAGCAAGCGTTAGCACCACTCTGTTGCCATCTCGGTTGGACCTCTTTTCAAGTACTGTGTCTAGTTTGGGGCATCACATTTTCTAAGAAAAGATCAGACAAACTGAAGCAGATGCAAAGAAGGGAAATTAGGGGCCAGAAGATAAGACCTTTAGAGAGGAATTGTAGGAGCTGGGCATGTTCACCCTTGAGAAAAGACAGCTGGTGGGAGGGGGATGAGGGGATCATTCAAACCTCTGGAAGGAAGTCCCACAGAAGATCAAAACCCATTTCTTCTCATTCCAGAGTGTGGGACATGGAGTAATGAAATAATGGATGTATGTGACAGGAAGACAGATTCCTGTTGAATGTTAGGACAAGCATTCCTTTATCTGTGTGTATGTGTGTGTGTGTGGTTTTACAAAGCACATACAAGCTAACACAAACTAATAAAGAGTAGAAACGGGAAAGAAGAAAGGAAAGAAGAGAGAGAGAAAACAGAAGTGCAGAAAACAAGAGCAAAAAAGAAAAAAATAGAAGTTTCTGATTTCCTTTGCACCAAATATAAGTACAATTGCAAAATTATCTCTTACTGTATGATTACCAAAAAAAAGTCCTCACTTTTTCCATTACCCCTATTCTTAGGACAAGCATTCCTAACACAGGGGCATCTAGCACTGGAATCAACGTTCCAGAGAGGTTATGGCAGGGTTCCTCAGCCTCAGCAACTTTAAGTTGGGTGGCCTTCAACCCCCAGAATCCCCCAGCCAGCATTCTGGGAGTTGAAGTCCACCCATCTTAAAGTTGCTGAGGTTGAGGAACCTTGGGTTATGGGTTTCCCTTCACTCGATGCGTTCAAGCAAAACCATCAGTTGGGGATGTTCTAACTCAGATTCCTGTCCTGAATAGAGAGTTGGATCTGAAAGCTTAATTGGCCCCATCCAACCCTAGAAATTTATGA